ATTTTTTTAAAAATAGACACACGGTTTTAGTACATTGGCCAGATTGGTCTTGAACTGCGTACCTCAAGTGATCCACCTGCCTCAGCCTCCCAAAGTGCTGGGATTACAGGTGTGAGCCACCATGCCCAGCCAAGATCTGAAATTTTAAAATTCACTGAATGAACATAACAGAGAAAATAGGCAGAGACCTCAAAGACACAGGAATAGAAATCGTCCAATCTGGAGAAAAAAGGAAGGTGGAAGTGATGGGGGGGGACAGAACCCAGGAACAGAGCCTAAGGGACCTGTAGGACAATATCAAATGTCTAACACATTATAGAGGCTCTGTAATTCCAGAGGCCCGGGAGACGAGGGGCGCGGTGGGGCAGAGCAAATATTCGCAGAAGCAGCAACCAGAAACTCCCCAGATTTGGTGAAAGACATACATTTATAGCTTTAAGAATCCAAACAGGATAAATGTGAGTAAAACCACACCCATCGCTTCAAAACTGTTAAAGACTAAATATTAACTTTAAAAATATTAAAAGCAGCCAGAGGAAAAGCAGCAGATCAGGCACAGCGCTGTGAAGAATGTGACTGACTGACAGACCGGGAGCCAACAGGCTGAGTTTCTACGTTTTGCATAAAATGGTATAATATGAGTTCAAAGTAGGCTGTAAAAAAGCAAGGTTGAATATTGCGATTCCTGGAGCAACAACTATGAAGATGATGGAAAGGGGTACACCTGGAAAGGAATTTCTGAAACTATTCAAATAATGCAAAGGAGGGCCAGAAAGAGAATAGAGGAACAAAAGCCTCAGGGACGTTCAGAAAACAAATAGCAAAGCAGTGAAAACGGTGGACCCCAAATCCAGCCATGGCGTCCTTACGCACTTGCCAGAGCTCAGGGAACACGCAGCCCCGAGAGCGCACCCTCGCATAAACCGTGGGCTCGGAGTGATAGTGACGTGTGGCTGCAGCACACGTGCCCCTCCGGTGTGGGCACAGAGGGGAGACAGGAACGATTCGTGCTTTCTGCTCAAGTTTGCTATGAACCTAAAATCACTGAAAAATAAAGATGTGTGTGTGTATACAAAGGGATCATATCACGATCATGTTAAATATCGGTGAACAAAATCCTCCAGTTACAAGGCACAGATTGTTAAAATGGATGAATTAGCAAGATTTACTACATGATGTCTACGAAAGATGCACTGTGGGGCGTGTGTGTGTGTCTGTCTGTATATTTTTTTAAGAGATGGGGTCTTGCCGTTTCGCCCAGGGGAAGTCCAGTGCTGCTCAAACTCCTGGGCTCAAGTGATCCTCCTGCCTCAGTCTCCAGAGTGGCTGGGATTAGGGGGATGTGCCATCACACTCAGCTAAAAGATGCACTTTAAATATAAAAAACACAGGCTGAAAGGGACTGCAAAATCCACAGGTATGTATCAGTGAGCATAAGAAGGCTGGAGTAGCTGATCTTGTTTTTGAGACAGGGTCTTGCTCTGTCACTCATGCTGGAGTGCAGTGGCGTGATCTCGGCTCACTGCAACCTCCGCCTCCTGGGTTCAAGCGATTCTCCCGCCTCAGCCGCCCGAGTAGCTGGGACTATAGGTGTGAACTGCTTTGCCTGGCTCATTTTTGAATTTTTATTAGGAGTGACTGTATTTATGTAACAAAATGAGTTTCAAGATACGGAGTATTACCAAAGGGAAAGCAGGGGAGGGCGAGACGTCAGTTACGAATGTGCCTAATACGTTCATCATCACACACAGAGTCTCAAAACACATGGAGCAAAACCAACAGAATTAGAGGGAGAAACAGGCAATCCCAAAATCATGGTAGGAGATTTTAACACCCCCCCCTTTCTAAGAACAATAGGCCAAAAAAAAAAAAAATCAGTCAAGACCTGGAAGAAGAGAATAACACTCATCATCTTGACCTACACAGTATTTTATGGAAAGTTACACATATCAGGCTGTACCTGGTGGCTCACACCTGTAATCAATCCCAGCACTTTGGGAGGCTGAGGCAGGTGGATCACCTGAGGTCAGGACTTCAAGACCAGTCTGGCCAACATGGCGAAACCCCATCTCTATTAAAAAACAAAAATTAGTGGGGTGCGGTGGCACATGCCTGTAATCCCAACTACTCAGGAGGCTGAGGCAGGAGAATGGCTTGAACCTGGGAGGCGGAGGTTGCAGTGAGCTGAGATGGTGCCATGGCACTCCAGCCTGGGCAACAAGAGTGAAACCATCTCAAAAAAGAACACACACACAAAAGTAGCACATATCAAATACCTCCTAAGTACACATTATACGTTTTCCAGCACAGACCAACTGCTATGCCCTGAAATGAGTTCCAATGAATGTTAAAAGGTAGAATTATACAGGGTGCACTTTCTGAGCACTGCATATCAACAACAAATAAAATATTTAGGAAACCTCAAATGTTAAACAATCCACTTCTGGATAAATCATGAACCAAGTAAGAACTCAAATAGGAAATTAGAAAATATTTCAAACTCAAGAGTGGGGAAAAATTGAAAACAGAAGAAAAAATATTTCCAACTGAATGGTAATGAAAATACAACATCAAAATTGTGGGTGTAGCTAAAGCCGCACTTAGAGCTCCGTAACTGTAAGCAGAGACCTGAGGTTCACTTCCAGAAGCAGAGTCAACCCAAAGCCATAAAAGGGGATTAAAAATACAGAAATCAGTGGCATAGAAAACATGAAAAAATGGAGAAGTTTAACAATATAAAAGCGGATTTTTTTCCTAAAAGATTGGAAAGATAGGCCAATCTCTACCAAGAATGGTCACTTTTAAGAAATAAGAAAGAGCCAGGTGACAGTTCACGCCTGTAATCTCAGCACTTTGGGAGGCCAAGGCGAGAGGACTGCTTGAACCCAGGAGTTTATCTCTGCAGACACACGTACATGCACACGTACGCACACGTACATGTGCACACACAGGCAGGAGGACTGCTTGAACCCAGGAGTTTATCTCTGCA